AAACTTAACTACCACAGACACATTGTAAAAGATGTGAGCATTGTGATTTTACCTCATGCCTACATCTATCTCCCCATCTCACATCACGGGGCGTAGCCTTTGTGTCTATGCTGCCTGAGGTCAGGAGCTCTGCTTGCCAGTCTTCGGATTACCCACAGCTCCTGTTGGCTTCTCATGGAACAGGTGCTCTTTACAGTGTTTAATGACCAAGGAAAACACAGTGTGTGCTCTACTGCTGATGTGCAAGGAGGATTTCTTTACCAAAGACGCGTATTTCTCAGTTCATTTGGTTTTCACAACTTCCCATCCTCATATTCTTTACACTTAATCTTCAGTAACAAAAAAGGCCATTACACCCTCTCCTCACTTACTATCTTGTTACCTAACATTTCGCATTTATGACAGTAGTAAAAAAAAATCTGATTATTCTGTGCATTAATGATGTGTCTGGTAGTAAGGAACACCAAGGAAGAATGCGAGACGAATGCTGGTTGTGATGTTAAAGTTATGTCAGCTTGGCCGGGCCATTATTCCTAGTGGTTTGGCAGTTATGTAATGATGGAATTTGGCAGTTAAAATATAACTCTGCAGTTATGTCATGATGTAGTCATCCTCCACTTTGTGATCTGATGTGGTCATCCTCTATTTTTGCATAACACCAATCTTAACTACTAGTCTTTGGAAACTAACTATGAGAAGAAGGTATATCCTAATAGCCTAGTTAGTTGGAGTGGCTACTAAGGCAAAGAAGGTGAGTGCAAGGTTGACTACAACTTTATTTGTAGAGAGGAACAAGCTAGGTTATCCAAAGCACGCTTTCTTCATAGTTCTATCATGTCAGACTCTTGGGAATTAGGAGCATTCTGAGAAGAATCCCAGAATGACAGTTTACCAAAGGATATCTTGTCTTGTTTGTGCTCAGACATCTTCAGAGTTACAAGTATTTGGGGAAATGGACCTGAGAAAACTGTGTAAGTTAGTGTTTCCCAAACCTAGCTGCAAATTAGAAATTTCTGGGTGCAAAAGGGACAAGGAGATGGCATTTTCTGACCTTCTTTAGCTTCACAAGAGGAAGACAGTATCAGCAGCAGCAGCCCGAGGTTTACTGCTATGAGGCCAGACATGCTGTCACCCTCCAGCCTTTTATCAATTCTAACAACCAACCAGCCCTGCCACGGCACTTAGTATTTCTCTGCTGGGTTTGATAATTCATTGCATGG